GCACACAACTTGCTTTACTGTCCCAAAATTGCCGTCGTAGCCGACATAAGAGAGAGAGAGAGGAGCGGAGTGTTTTTGTGTGTGTGTGTCTCCCTCCCAGTCCCCCCTCCGCCTCCTCCTCCTCCTCCTCGCCCGTCTCCCTTCGTTCCACTCCAGCCTGGACTCCTGCCTTTATCCCCTCAAGTTCCACGCCCTTGCAAGCGACAGAGTCCTTTACAGTAGCGGCCGCTGTCTTATTGATTACACAGAAGCACGATCCTCTCTCTCTCTCTCTCGCTCTCGCATCGTGTGTAGAGACTGCCTTCCAAAAGCAGTCAAGCAGTTTAGTTACCACGCAATGGAAGCAAATTGGACTATCCCATTAATTGTCATTAACACATTCACTACACAGCCTGTGCAGGACAAGGTGGAGGAGGAGGAGGAGGAGGCGACGGCGGCGGCGGCGGCGGAAGTGAAGGGGGCAGGGAGATTCGATCACTCCACTACCACGCACACACACTTGACAAAAATAGGTAAAAAAAAAATAATACTTTTGTAAGCTTTACCACTTTTTGATACCTTCACTTATGTGTATACAAAAATAATAGTTAAAATTTTTTGGTACTCTTTGCATTCAACCAACATAATGAAATGTGAAACCACAACAATTTAACTTTCATTTTTTTTTGTGTGTGTGTGGGTGTGATATGATTATGTGGTTTACCGTATGCGCGGATTTGGAGGGCAGGTCACATTGGGTCGGTGCAAGGATCAACAAAAAAAAAACAAACAGGTCAAAGTGTCACCCACCAGCACGCCGTTGACACTCACAGGAGGGGGGGGCAGGGGGTGGCGCGGGGGCGAGGAGGTGAGCAGTGCTCAGTTCGAGTCAAGTATTTATTGTTCTACAAAAAAAAGAAATAAATACATATCGTCTAACCAATTTTTAAGCTGATAGGATTGTGTGTGTTTTTCTCTCTCTCTCTCTTTCGCCCTCCAACTTGTGCCAATATTTGACATGCAAAATTGAATATGTGTAAGGTCGGCACTGAATCATCGTGTTCCCGCCTTCATCATTTCCCCTCTACTTTGCCTCTTGCCCTTCTATACATGAGGTTTGTTTTAAAAAAAAAATGAAATATGAAATGTCTATTTTCCACTCCCCCCCCCTCCTCCCCTATTTACCACTTTCTTTTTCTCTTTCCTGTTCATTGCTTTTGCCCAGTGATGCCACGTGGATGTCCCAATGATTGCAGCAATCGAGGCATTTGTTCTCAGGGTGTTTGTGATTGTCTCAATGGACTAACTGGAAAGGATTGCTCTTCTGGTGAGTTGGGTATTTGTTTTTTTTTTTTAAGCCCCTCCCCTCGTCTCCTCTCCCTCTCTTCCCCTCCTTTTGTCATCAGACTTGAGAGAAGAGAGGAGAGGAACACTTTTTTTTTTTACACAACCATCATATAATAATGTTGCATATCACAACGTAACCTTTTGATGCCTGTCAATTGTTGTTATTTGATAAGTCCATCTTCTTTTGTCTCACACTTTCTTATTCCACTTAATTACTCATTCATATTTCTGTCATAGCAACCACTTGAATGTGAATAGGTGTGAGTAGATGGATTATTAACTACACAGAAGATGGCCAGCGGAAAGGGGAAATCGGAGACGGTGGCGGTGGTGGTGGCGGCGGCGGCGGCGGAGGAGGAGGAGGAGGAGAGGGGAGGGAAATTTTAAACGCATACTAAGGTTTTTCTGTCGATCATTTCTGCCATTTTGGGTGCCCAGTGGTGGGCACGATAACTGAATCTGGTGCACTGCACCAAATCAGGCCTCGTTCACTTTGACCAGAAGCGAGTGTGCGTGGCAAGAGGGTGGTGGTGGTGGGAGGAGGGGGGGGGCGAGAGAGATTGCGGCAGTTGATAAACCGCCTCTTGTGGGCAGATTTTGTCGATTTTGGGGTTTTCCCTTCTCCTCCTCCTCCTCCTCCCCCCTCCCTCCCTCTCTCCCATTGCCGTCTCTCTATCTCGCTCTCTCCTTCGCCCCACGAATTTTGGCATTTAGGCGGCTGCGTCTGTATTATATATGCATGCGTGTAAGGCGGTGAAAAGACTGTAAAATATTAGAATTTTATACAAGATGGGTAAAAAAAAAGATGTGTGAGGTTGTAGTTACTCTCTACTTGGATTGCCTTTTTGAGTTTCAATTGCCCCGAAAGAGTGGGAAAATCTCAACGTTCCCCCCCCCCTCCCCGTCTTTGGTAAAAGTGAAGGTGCTTGATGACAAATGTCAGGCTCAGGATTAACTTTTGAACCCTTTCAGTGGAAGATGTGCCAATCTGTAGTGGACATGGTGAATATCGTCAGGGTAGATGTCATTGCTACTCCGAGTGGAAGGGGCCTGAATGCGAGACTTTGTGGTCTGAATGTCCAGATCCCACGTGTTCAGGTCATGGACGCTGTGTTACTGGGGAGTGTCTTTGCTTTGACGGATTTGGAGGTGATGCTTGTCAATTTCGTAAGTCATTCAACTCTTTTTTTTTTCAAACTAGTCGTTTCTTCACTTTCACTTTTGGTGAGATGAGGAGGCTGAGGTTGGCTTACTTGGTTTAAAGAACTTATCATGTGGTGTTTTGTATG